TTCTTGTGTGGCTAGATAGCGTACTGTGGTCATTAATTGATAGCTTGGCTCCACGGCAAAGTACTTTCTTTTTCGCGATTACGCCGCCACATCCTCTTTGTGACGCGACAGGAAAACGTTACGCAAAGAAAATGACTGCGAACGCGTCGCGTCGCTGGTCGGACACATGTCCCGTACGGGGCGCCCCCCGCGGGCGGCTTAGACAAGCCAATAAAGGAAAAAGAGTGAAAAGTGCGGACCTTCCTGCTAAGTTCATCATCGCATCCTGTGTGTGTGTGTGTCTTATTATCCCAGCAGGGCTCTTCCTCCCCTCCACTCCTCTCTCCATCCTCTCGCGTTCCGTTCCTTCCCTTTCCTTCCGCTGTCGCGAGCGCCGTCACGTGACCAGACGTGCCGCGCTAAAACAAGCGGCGGCGGCCGGCGAAAAGGGGAGGGGGGCGGGGACGAAGAGGCGCGTCCGAATATGCGGCACAGGGAACCGTTTTACTATCAGCGGCCTAAACTCGGCTTGGCCCGGGCTGTTGGCACTTTCTATTGAGACGCAACTAGGCATAGAAAGGTGCTAATGTGCGCCGCACCGGCCGGTGGCACGCCGCCGCCGGTGGCTCGGAGCGAGCGTCAGCCGGTGCACCGGCCGGCAGCAGTGTGCTTCAGCGGCAGTGGCCCACGTTAAAAGCTTTTAATAAAGTAATTTCTCTAAGACAGGCTCACGAGGTTTGAAGCTCTTGACTTGTAAATTATTGCCAACTAAATCTTTTGCACGGTTTCGTTCCTGCTGAATGAAGTAGTCTAGACTCGGACTTACACGGCTCCTCATCGTCTCTCTCTCTCTCTCTCTCTCTCTCTCTCTCTCTCTCTCTCTCTCTCTCTCGGTATGCTCATATCTCTCTCTCACTCTCTCTCGCGCGCAGACACACGCACGGTAGGCCGAGTGCATGCTGCTGCGCCGTTGGTGTTAACGAACGACCCACACAGGCTGGGCCGCGAGCAGCGCACCCGACCCGCAGGGCTCGGCCAGGGCTCGGCCAGGGCTGCGCCAGGGCTCCGCCCGCGGGGTGGCGCGGGCCCGTCAGGCCCTTTGCACTTTCACTCACGGAAAACCACTTTTCTTGTGTGCTCCTGCTCGGGCAAGCATGGGAGGGGATGAGAGGGGGAGCCGAATACCATAGCGAGTTGCGGCCAGGAATTTTATAATAATTAGTCATCTTTCTGCGTGCTGTGTAACCCTCTCCCCACCGCCCCCCACACTCTCCCCTGCTACCCATCGCCCCTCCCCCCCCCCTCTGCAAAAGCAAATCGCCCGGTCTTTCCGGGGGAACGCCACGTCGGCCCCGCCCCGCTTCTGCTGGCCAGACCCCAAAGCAGAGAGGGCCCTGTTCTCAGCACGCCATGAACGCTGTCTCTTCTTCTCCCCAGGACGACGTAATTTCCCTGCAATACGTTCGG